GGGGCGATTATCCTGGATGGTATGGCTGGGCACTAAATGCATGCAAATATATGCATCCTTATGTAACAGCGTGGCCCCTGGGAAAAAGGGAAGTTTCAGGTTTCCGGGTGCCCCACCCAAGGGAGGGTAGAGCTGAGCAAGGAGAGAAGAAGCTGTAGAAGGGATGGAGAAAGGAAGGAAGCAGGATGAAGCCAGAAGGAGACCTGGAGGAGACACATGGAGCCGAGAGACACGTGAAGAAACTGTGCTTGCCTTTTGGTAGTGGACTGGGTGACACAGATGTGGGTGAGAAACCTGTAGAGAGGTTAACAATGGCAGCTTTTATCTTGATTTTGATTTTGCTCTTTTCCTCCCAGACTTGTCAGACTGTTTCTGATCCTTTTCTGTGGGTCCCCACTGGAAGGTACTTTGGACTTGTGGCAGGCTTTCGGGACTTGCTCTGGGCCAATCCCGTTTGGGTGGACTTTTACCCACAAAGGGATGGGTGACTTTGGGTGCTTGATTTAGAAACTTTGCCTTTCCTGTTGTTTACTAATTGTATTAAAGTTCCTTTTCGTTAAAGTATCATGTTTTGTGTTGATGTGGCGGATGGCAGAACCTATTTAGAGCAGGCAGATTGTGGGGTCTGGGGTGCCCCTCACCCTGCCTAGTAACACCTAGAGGGAGGCAGAAGGAGAACTGGACAAATATACAGGGAAGGTCACGTAAGGTGGAGTGTACAGGGACTTGAAGAAGCTGACCTTGAAGGCTGGAATGATAGTCACAGACTAAAGAACGTTGGCCCCGTTGGAAGTGGGGAGACAAGGATGACTTCTTTTCCCTACAGTGTCTGGTGGGACCACTGTTTGCCCAGTTCCATGACGTTTGTCCAGTGCTACTTATATCAGATTTGTGGCTCCCTGAACTGTGTGAGTGCACATTTGTGTTGTTTTAAGTCACCAAGTTTGCAGTAATAGGAAATTAATACATTAATATTGGTTGTGGGGTAATGAAAATGTTCTGAAATTGGATTGTGTTGAAGGTCTTACAACTCAGTAAATATACTAAACTCACTGAACTAAATCAATGGATTGATTTTATTTAAAAATATTTTTATTGAGTTAATATTGGCTCACATCATTGTTTATTAGATGAATCAATTTTATATTGTGTGAATTAGACCTGAGTAAGGTTTTTTAAAAACATTGTGACCTTGGGTTAAGCAAAAATTTCTTAGATATGACATAAAAAACATGATCCATTACATATTGGATTCCAAAATTTAAAACTTATGCGCTTGAAAGATACTGTCAAGAAAAGAAAAAGGCAAACCACACACTGGGAAAATTATTTTTAAAGCACATATTTGATAGAGGACTTATCATTATATCTGACTATATGAAGTGTTCCCAAACTTCAATAATAAGAAAACAAAGAATGAGGAAAAAAATCATTGATTAAGATATATAGACTTTGGGGCCTCCCTGGTGGTGCAGGTGGTTGAACGCAGCACTGTGAAGCTGTCTGCAGCCTCGGCAGTGCCAGTTCGATCCCCGCAGGCCTCGGAGCAACCCACAGGCGAGCAGACCTTTCCTGTCTCACCTGCTGCTCCCCTCAGCAGTGTATTTCATCAGCCTACCTGTTCTGTTCCCCGCTCTGTCTCTGGTGAAACCTCTCACCTCCCCGCACATCTGGCCTATACCCTGGTTCTTGTATAAATAAAATAAATCTTAAAAAAAGTATTGATTTTAAAGAAGATATATTGATGGGAAATAAGCACAATAAAATAAGCTTGGTATCTCTGTAGTCATTAGAGAAACACAGAATAAAACCACAATGAAAACCCACCCCTGACAATATTGAAAGGCCAGCAAGGAGAGGCAGCAGCTGCAGCATTACCGGTAGAAATGCAAAATGGGTCAAGTTGGTCACCTCCCTGGCTGGGGATTGAACTTGTGCTGCAGTAGATGCAGATTGCTTCATAGTGCTGATGCTTAACCAGACCTCTCCTGTCATGCCCGCTGCTCCCCTCAGCAGTGTATTTCAGTCAATCTGCCTGTTCTGTTTCCCACTCTGTCTCTGGTGAATCCTCTCATCCCCCGGCCCTTCTGTCCTGTACCCTAGTTCTTGTATGCATAAATAAATAAATCTTAAAAAAATATTTACTTTATTAAAAGCAAAAAAAAAAAAAATGCAAAATGGTGCAGCACTTTGGAATACAACTTGCCAGTGTCTTTAAAATGAAAGATAGGGTCTCGCCTGGTGGCTCAGGCGATTGAGTGCAGTGCTGTGAAGCTGTCCGCAGCCTCTGCAGTGTGGATTCGATCCCGGCTGGCCAACGAGAATCCCACATGGTGCAGCAGACCTCTCCTGTCTCGCCAGCTGCTCCCCTCAGCAATGTTTTCCGTCAATCTGCCTGTTCTGTTCCCCACTCTGTCTCTGGTGAATCCTCTCACCTTCCCGTGCATCTGGCCTGTACCCCAGTTCTTGTATAAATAAATAAATCTTTAAAATAAAATAAAATGAAAGATAATTTTACCATAGAACCCAGAAATTCTACCCCAGGTTATTTGTCCAACAAGCCTATGGTCACACAAAAACCTGTATACAAATACTTGCAGTACCTTTTATTTGGAATAACCCCAAACTGGAAACTGACCTGAATGTCCCTCAGTTGGGGTAAGGATAAGGAAATTGTGTTACAGCCACACAGTGGGATCCAATTGAGAGACAACAAGGAACTCCTTATACACCCAGCTGACAACATCTCAGATGCACTGAGCTAAATGAACAAAGTCAACTTAATATGCTACATGGACCATTCTATTTTTATTATATTCTGGTAGAGGCCAAACTCTAAAGGGGAAAAAAAATCAGATCAGTGTTGCTAGTACTTGGGGGTGGGCAATGGGTGACTACTAAGGGACCTGGGGAAACTTCTAGGGGGAATGGCACGCTTCTATGTCTTGATCATGATGGTGCTTAAAAGTCTATATGGGTTTGTCAAACTCCCAGAACTTGTTATTGCAAGGGTGAATCTCATTCTATGTCAATTAGACCTTAGTTTTCTGAATGGATAAATGGGTACAAAGAAATCAAAAATATAATGTTGTGTTGAAGTATTTCATACATAAAAATTAAGAGTGTACAAGTATCGAATCATTATGTTAGACACAGGAAGCCCTCAATTACGTCTCAGCAAAATGTCTAATGCATACACATTTTTAGAGATTTTAATAAACCCTTCCAAATTTCCCTCCAGAAACACTGAATCTAGTCTCTACTTCCTCTCCCAGTGGAAAGAGGGTGTGTGTATTCTTACACCCTCTTTGGCACAGCTGTCAACAGTGATCACAATTTTCAAAATGCTTTACTTGGTGAGGGACACACAGTTGGGGGGTTCATAGAAGCATTGATTGCAAGCACACAAAGCCCCCACAGCAAATAAATGAGCCCCCTCCCCCAATCTTGAAGCCATTTACTGTTCTGATGGAGGAAAGGAAAGAGGAAAGACACCATGTTGTTGAGAGGGAAGATAGTTTTTGATCTCGAGGACCTGAATGAAGACAGGGGACAAGCATTGAACAGGGGTGAATAAAGAAAACCTAGTATGCCTTCAGGGAACTGAGAGGGCTGAACTGATGATGGCATTTCATGCCCCCAGTCGCAGTGCTTAGCACCATGTACAGCGTGTAGGACTATAAGAATGAACAAGCAAGTGAATGAACAAACGAGCATGTTGAGACTAAAAGTTCGGAGTCAGCAAAGATAAAATATTCTTGAATTGGGATTTGGGCGTTTCTCCTCAGTTTTAGACTGTGCCCATGCAAACTTGAGGAACTTGTATTCATCTACATCCCATCTAAGGAGAAGAAATTGACCCAGGTGAGTAAGAAAAGCACACACAGTTATGGGGGTCCACCTGGGTCCCCATACCCGAAAAGAGTGGATGACACAGCTCCCGGCCATCAGAAGTCTATCCTCTGACTCTTATTTCTGGGGCCTAAGTGAAGGGTGGGGTGTAAGGCCAAGTGCTGGGTCATTTCAGCTGGAACGGGGCGGCTGTATAGGAGAGATAGGGTTGAGGGAGAGGAAGTGGAGTGGGCTTGCCTATGTGCTGGCTGGGGGCCAGAACTAGGAGTAGAAGGGGCTGGGGGTGTGGTTTCTGGAAGAGGTGGGGGAAGGGAAGCATTGCAGTCTCAGGAAGCCTGTAACAGGGACTCTGAGTCCGAACAGGCTGGTGGGTGAGTAGAAGCCACAGTGGGAAAGGCAGAGAGTGATGAGAACCACACGGACCAGCAAGTAGCAAAAGGGAGAGGCAGTGTGTGTGTGTGTGTGTGTGTGTACACGCACCCCCACAAGTAATGGCCCAGGAGCTCCTTCCGGAACTAAACATTACGCTTGGAGTCTTATAATTTGCATCTTTTCTCCCCCTATGTCACTCCAACCGTGACAAAAATAAGACTGCATGTGAGCACATAAGGGGTCATTTGTAAGTGTGAACATAGTGACCAGGCAGGAGTTGGTCAGAGGGAGCTACAGGGCACCAGAACAAATGCATCCTGTGAGGAGTACATGAATGAGTAGGTGAATGAGTTAACAAGAACCTCCTTGGGAATGTATGTGAAAAACAAAGATTTCCGCATTGCCTCATAGCCTCTCGTGGCCTGATAGCCTCCATTCCCAAGTTTCTGAGCCCAGAAGATTCCAGGGAAGTCTGTACCTGAGGTTCTAGAAACCTCACAAGTGTTTGCCAGATGGATCCTGTGCCACAGACCAGGAGGTACCCCTTTAGAACCACCTTCCAGAAGGGAGTCAGAGAAGCTGAGGAGTCTTCTGACCTTGCCATCCCTCCCTGGGCTGGGGGCCCCCGACTGGGTGGAGCAGCCACACCTGCCTGAAGTTTCGAGGAAGAGGGCGGAAACAGCCACCAGCACCGCCCTCTCCTTGCTCTGAGGCCCCTGCGGTCTGTTGGTCACAGTGGGTCCCACAACTTCCTCACTTCCCTAAATGGGCAGCTGCACTTTTAGAACCCTGGGTCTGTCCCCAAGTGGCACATAGGTGCTGTAAAGATCTGGGGCCCTTGCCGTGGCTCCCCGGGGTGTCCTGGCCCCCTGCTGGCCTGAGACTGTCCAGCTGGATGATGCCATGGCCCCCACGTTGCCCCTGCTTCTGCTGCTATGGTTCCAGGGCCGTGTATCAGGTGAGAGGGCTGCTGGGTTGGTGCAGGGGGGAGGAGAGGGCCTTTTCCTTGTCAAGTGAGTTTGTTTAATGCTTACCAGGATGGAGGAGGAGATGGTTGGGGCTGACGGAGTATCTCCTTACCGGAGACCGGAGAAGCCTCCATCCTGATATCTGGCCTCTGACAAAGCTAACCCAGGCCTCAAAAACTGAGATAAAACTTGGGATCCTCTCTGCATGGGCCACTTTATCTGCCAGTCTCTCTCAGGACCAGGGACACTCAATTTCCTCACACAAACTGTCTTCCCTTGGCCTCTGCCAGGAAAGCCCTTTGTGGTTCTTACAGAAATCATTGCATCATTTGTGAGCCCTTTGAACTCGCTTTTCTTTGGAATTCTGGGGCCATCACCCCCATTTTGTACCGCCTGTCTGAGGGAAGCAATCCCTGAAGGCCTCTCCCACCTCAGTCGCCAATGCTCCTTGAAGGGCCTCCACAATTCTCCCTCCCTCGCTGCCATGGCAGCCAAATTACCACTTCCTGTTCAGTTCTGGTCTTGGTGGGGTTAGCATAACCCACTCCCCTGTGCCTGTGAGAGGGTGGAAGGTGGGCACGAGTGACCACAGCCCAGAAACCCTTTGCAAGGTCACACCACCCATGTTCCCGCCCATGAGGCCCTTCCTCCTCTGAGGACAGAAGAGTGTCTCTGTCCTCAGTGAGCAATCCCAGGGAACTCCAAGCCTCCTACCCAACAAATAATGGAGTTGGATCATTATATTTAGTTAGCATGGGACAGAGTACTGCTTTGAGAGAGTGTTACCTTTCTCTGAGCCTCAACGACAGCGAGCTGCGCTGGAAACTAAGGCAGAGTCTTGGCCACGAAGCACCACTGGAGAAGTCTGGGCAACCTGCATTGGAGTAAAGGAAGCAGGCGCTGAGCACCTGCTTCATTCAGGCACTGTCCCGAGGCATGGTTCTCACAGCCAACCTGGCTCACCTTAGGTGAGCTACTCACATGTTTAGGCAATGGCACAGCGTGCTGGCCCTTATTTAGACTCCAAAATGCAAGCTTTCCACTCTCCAATGGGGAGAAACGTTTTTTGTGCACTTGTTTATAAAGGGCTCTGGGGGTTTAGAGGATTAAGAGTTGATGTTATGGCAGACAAAGGGAGGGACCGCGTGGCAGCTCCCTCCCCCAGCCCCCCTCCCTCCCTCCAACTGCTCTGCAACATATTCCCCATTCTCTCTATTGTCTCCTCATCAGGTTAGAATAGGAAGTACACCAACCACACCATATTCCTGGGCATAAAAAGTAACAATTTAAAAAATAAATAAATTACTTTTTTTTTTTTTAAACAAGCAACAACGTATTGTAGAAGAATAGTACAGTTTGTACAATTCTTTGGTTGGCAGCTCTAGGAGTTTGTATGCACATTTCATCTATGGGTTTAATGTGACTAGAATATTTTCAAATTCAATTTACTTTTTTTTTTACATTTTAAAAGAACAGGTTTATTAGAAAAAGGAGAAAATAAAAGAGAGTTACCTGCATAGTCTGTGGTGGGCAGAAGAGCTGCCTCAATTTGCTTTTTAAAAGATTTTAAAAGTGAACCTATTTGTGAAATAAATAACTTCTCAGAATGTTTTCAAATATTGAATTTTCTTATCTACCTGTTGTTTTTGTTCTGCACTTTCATAACTTTATGACTTGTGTTTGCGTCTACACTTCCGTCTCATTGAAGGCAAGACCTGGGTTTTCCCCAAAACGCCCTGAAGCTGGGCCTCATCACTCCCCACCCCTCAAACCAGAAAACACGGTGATGAAAGGAGCAAGGGCCTGCGTCTGATGGGGATCTCTGTGTCTAAGAGCTGAGTCTCCTCGGTTAGATTGGGGGGGATCCTTGAGGGCTTTGCCTGTGACTCTGCCATCAAATAGCGATTTCCTAGGGGCTACCCCTGTATCTTCCCAATCATTCTCAGACTCCTCAGGGGCACAGGACGATTGGCTTGCCCAGGTAGGAACTCCCAGAGGGCAGGGCTAGCGCTTCTCCAACAGCCCGAGGGCTCCCTGAAGGAAGGGCCTGTCTCCTCAGACCAGGAGCTAGCAGTGAGGCCTGGGTAACTCTCCTGCCACACTGAGGAGTGCTCCCTCAGTCTAGGCTGCATTTCTCCCTCAAACTGTGAGTGAGTATGGCAACAAGGCAGTATCCACCTCCTCTCCCTTCACCACAAGTTTTGAGATTCAAGATACCTCCTCCCCCCACCCTTTCACCTTCTCAGCAAGTCCTATTTCCCCAGGTGCGCCTGCTGAAAGCGTGTACTCCAGAGTGAAGCTCTTTGAAGGGGAGAGCCTATCTGTGCAATGCTCCTACAAAAGTCGCAAAAACCATGTGGATGGAAAGGTTTGGTGCAAAATCAGGAAGAAGAAATGTGAGCCTGGGTTCACCCGGGTCTGGGCGCAAGGGCCGCGCTACCTGCTGCAGGATGACATCAAGGCCAAGGTGGTCTATGTCACCATGGCGGCCCTTAGGCGTCAGGACTCTGGCCGGTACTGGTGCATGCGCAACAGCTCCGGGACCCTCTACCCTTTAATGGGCTTCCAGCTGGAAGTGTCTCCAGGTGAGCAGGCCAACCCAGGGCTGGGATGTGTAGGGGGAGAACTGGGGAGGGAGGGGGGAGGTGAACACAGGTCCCCTTCACCTCAGCTACCAAGAGCTATAAGATTAATAATCCATCAATGGATAAGGTGTCCTGTGGTGTTTTCATAGACCTCTTCATTGGCGTTATTATTACCATTTTACAGATGAAGAAAATGACATCTAGACAACATTATGTGATTCTGACCTTGTCCAAGATCACACAGCTAGAGAGTGGCAGATAGAAGTTTCCAGCTCAGGGCTCTGTTTTAGTCACTCATCTGTCAGTATATATCCTCTGACTCCCTGGGACACACCAGGCACTATTTGAGGCTGTGAGCATAATGTGGTGAGTGCCTGGGAGATGGCAGGCAACAGCACATCATCAGATAATTTCAGTTAACAAGAAATAGTCTTAAGAAAACAAAGCACACGTAAGGAATAGAAAGTAACTCAGTGGTCGGGGGAACGGCTGAAGTTCTGGGAGTCAGAGACAACCTCCTGAGCAGATGAATCAAACAGAGCCCTATGTGAAGCAATCTCTCTAGACCTGTTGAAATGTGAACTCCAGGTGTGAGCAACGGTATATTCAAAGGCCCTGAGGAGGAGCTGGGCCTGTACCAGGCAGGCCTGTGTGACAGGTCCATGTTGAGTAAGGGGCACAGTGATAGGAGATGAGGTGGGAGAGCCCAACAGCAGCCTTGAAGTCCATGAGAGGGAGTTCGAGTTTTATTCTAAGCACAAGGAAGCTATTAGAGCACTTAAGAGAAATATTGTGGCTTGTCTTTAAGGTTTTAGTGGTTGCTGTGTGGAGGATGGATTGTGGAAGGATAAGACCCTGGGAAGAAAGCTTTGTGCACTTCCTGGCTGGCAGTGACAGGGTTTTGGAGTAGGGTATGGGCCCTGGAGAGGGAGAAAAGTGGAGGCTCAAATCTATGCTGCCGAGACTTCCCGCTCACCCTGTATGTTTGGGAGGTAAGAAGGTTTGCTCATGTGGAAGTGAGTTATCAAGGATGACTCCATGTTTTTTTATTTCATCAACAAGGTGAATGGTAGCGCCATTTATTGGGTAGGATAAATCTGAGAGAGGAGCTGGTTTGGAGCAGAACCATTAAGAGCTGTATTTTGTCATGTTAAGGTGAAAAGTATTTTCTAGAACCCAAGGTAGAATGAAGCAGGCAGTTGGTATATGATCCTGGAACTCAGGTGACAGGGTGGAGTGGGGGACATATATGAAAGTGTCTCTGAAAAGACAGTTTAAAATCAATGGGGTTAGGGAAATCTATAGAGGGAGAAGGTAGATGAGTGGTTGCTTAGGGTTAGGGGGAAGGAAAAGAAGATACAAGGGCTGCAGCTGGAGGGTGAAGGTTTCTTTCTGAGAGAGGAAAATATTCTAAAACTGACTGTGACGATGTGTGCACATCTCTGAATAGTCCAATAACTATTGAATTTGATGCTCTAAATGGACGTGTTGTAAGGAATGTGAATTACATCTCCATGAAGCTGTTTAAAAAGCCAAGAGGGCATAAAAGCTCTCTCTTGGGTATAGAAAAAGAAGAGTGGAGAGCCAAGAACCAAGTCCCAAGGTTCTGTGAAGTTTTAAGTTTTAAGACAGGAAAGGTGAGGAGCCAGTTAGAGAGCTGGGAAAGCAGTCAATGATGCTGAAATCCATCATCCCCCTTTCCTTGTGGCTCTAGCCCAACTGTGCCCCCCTCTACTGAATATGACACCTGCTAAGGCTCAGATGTAGGATCAAATCTCATTCGTCCTCTCTGGTTCTGATTCAGGACCCAGGAAGTAGTTGAAACCAGTTTACTCAAGCCTTAACCTGTAGGAATACAAACAGGAAATGGCCTATTTTTCTTTTAGAGTCCCCTGTTGTGCTACATCATATATTACTTTCCCTCTCTGAGCAAGAATTTGGGGGTGATCCCCACTTTAAAGACCTTTTTAGTTATTAGGAAATAAAAAATTGTCAGTCCTGTAAAACCCTAATCTCCACTCCCACTTGAAGACTGGATTTTATGGTTCAAGACACTTGAAGTGGGGAAGGGGAGGTAGCCCGCTGCCTAAGCCCCTTCCTTCAATTCAGTAGGTGGGGAAGAAGGGTTCTTAGCAGTCACCTCATCTTTCTTCTCTCCTTCTCCTACCATCTTGGTGTATGAGGCAGGAATGAAGGAAAGCGAAATGATTCTGTGACCTCACTGGCCCTTGTAGAAGTTCTTTGTGTTGGATGTCACTCCTTTTCTGTTCAGCCCTATGAGATCTCCGATGAGGTGGGTTTCCAAATGCTGGCTCTCCCAAGGCACCTCTCCATGAGTTCTTTGGAGAGGCCTTTGAGGGCATCTCTGCTGTTGAATAGGACGATGTAGAAGACTTGGTTCCAGCTCAGCCTCTTTCCCTATCCCCATCACCAATGTTCTGGGTTCTCTTACTCAGGAAGGTAGGCACCTTCCCTGGTGACCATTTGGCACTCAGGAAAGCTTCCTTGCAGTGCCCAGCTGTGTAATACCATAGCTCCCACTATCCCCTACCATCTCTCTCCAATTTTCTTGTTCTCAGCCAAGATAGACTAAACACTGCCCCCAAATTGAGACCCCACAGCTCCTACAACTCCTTCCTCTTGCACCATTCAAACATTAATGTTCTTCTGCCAAATGGCATGGCAAAGGGCTGGGTTGGTGGATGAGGTTAACAGAACCAGCTTGGATTCTCTGTATGTGTCCCCAAAGAAGGCATCTGACCTGCCACTTGTGGTGTTCTTTGGAATTGGGATCTTTGATGGCTTCGTTGTCCTCATTTCTGGATCCCAGTCACTAATTATGAGCAACTAGAAAAGTCCCTATTCAACACCTTTTCAATGTTTTGATGCACAGAAATCTTTTTTGACCCACAGGAATGAGGCAGGTCTGGAAGTGAGGAGAGGTGAGGTGGGGAGGGGAGTGTCCCCTGAGCCCAAGTGGGGACAGCGAAGGCTCAAAAAACATGAAAGTCTCTTCTTTCTTTACTGTGCCTATTTCTTCTTCCCTGATATCACCCTCTGAACACACACACACTGGATCGTGATACTGAACAATGGGGTGCTTATAGCCATGCAACACCTGAACAAACCCAGGAAAGACATGTGAGTCAAGATTCAAGCACCCAAGAGTTTACTCACTAGCCAAGGATAGGGAGGGAGCCCATGCTTTAAAGATCTTTTCGCCAAACTGGGGAGAAGCAGGAACTTATATGGGGGTGAGTAATGACAAGGGGGAGAAGTTAAAGGGTCTGCATTAGCAGACCTTAGGAGAAATAGGACAGGGGTGGGGAGTGCAGGGTGTTACCGGAAACTGCACTCACCCCCTTTCACATCTCGGTAGAGCTCTTACCGACTGGACCTGTCATGGAACTTGTTTTTTACTATGTTAAAGAGGGTGACTTAACCCTTGTTTTAGTTTTTTTTTTTTAAAGATTTGTTTATTTATACAAGAACTGGGGTACAGGTCAGAGGTGCGGGAGGGCGAAAGAATTCACCAGAGAGAGCGGGGAGCAGAACAGGCAGACAGACCGAAGACACTTCTAAGGGGAGTAGCGGGCGAGACAGGAAAAGTCTGCTGCGCCATGTGTTTCTCCCTGGCCGGCCAGGAATTGAACCCATGCTGCAAAGTCTGCGGAGAGCTTCACAGCGCTGCATTCAACCCACTGTGACACTGGGGAGGCCCAACCCTTGTTTTAGTTTTACCTCCATCTGGGTCTCAGCAGATTTTGCCTGGTTTTCTATAGTTTTTTTCTTCAGGAATAGAGCAAGAATAGGGCGCTTCTGCTTAAAAAAAAAAAAAAAAGACAAACAAGGAAACAAGGATAGAGCAAGGATGAGCAGAGTAAGGATGAGGAACTTAGGGTTGTTTGGCCTGGGCCTAGAGACAGTCACTCAGCAGAATCCCAGGTCCAAAGTCCAGGGGGAAAGACAAAGACAGGCCCCCGCCAGCCTCCAGACAAGTGTGGGACACCAGGATCTGCTCCCAGCAGGCCGCCCAGTTCTAATGCTCCTCCCTCTCTGGACCCTCAGGCCCCACGACCAAGAAAAACACGCCTCTCACACACCCGGCCAACATCCTCAAGAGTGACATTGTCGTCACAACAGACCAAACCCCCACCAGCGTGCCAGTGTTCACACCTGGGCTCCTCACCTTGGCCAGACTCTGGCCTTCCACAGCCTCGGGGACCATCAGACTGAGCACCATGACAGGCTACAGCTTCACTGGCACCAGCACTTCCCCAACAGGGCCCAGGGAAACTACGGAGTCCCAGACAGCATCTCCCAGCCCTGCTGGCCTGATGTCTACCTCTACTGAGGCCGGGCACCTGCGCACCCGATCGCCCACTGCAGGAATGTGCCACACCAGCAGATCTCACCTCAACAAAGTACCCCCCATCAGGTACCGGGGTCCTGGTTTGAATACACTTTACCAGATAGCAGTTGTTGGTGTCTGTGCAGATCTCAGTGTGCAAATGTCATGTCACACCTACCCCTGTCACTCCCTACGACCTCAGTCTGGCCTGTTGCTGAATGGGAGTTGGGACTGGCAGCTGGAATGATGTGACATGAAGGATGGCAGTGGGCAGTGAATGGCAGGATGGGCAGCATAAGGGTCTGTGTGTGGGAAGGGGTAGGGAGGAACAGGACAAGAATGACAGCTTAAGGAACAGGAAGTGGGAAGTGAGGGATGCTTTAATTTTGGGTTTCCCCAGAAGCAGACTCTGAGACAAGGATTTGAGTCTTATTTGGAACACTGGCAAGAGCTTTGGGAAGGGGGGCAGGAGGGGATGGTGACCAGTGGGTTACTTCATCAAGTTGGCTGAAAGAAAGAATTCAGTTCAATCTGTGGGCAGAAAGAATTCAGTTCCTTTGAGGGAACTCTGTGGTCCGGAGTGAAACAGCCCCCTGAAGGGCAGAGAAGCTGGGCTGTTCATACACCCACACTGCCTGCCACGTGTGGCATAGAGGGTGCCAGTGACGAGAGAGTCCAGGACAGAGGATTACGATAGAGGGGATGTTTGAGAGCCATCCAAGACCACACAGGTGGCACCTACGGCATCTATGACAGAGGACGAAGGTGGGAAGAGCCAGCCTCGGGAATCTTGGTCTGTGCTGTTACAAATGGGGTTCTCTCTAGCATCCTCAGCCATGAGCAGACATGAGGGAAAAGGGAAGAGAGGTGCTGTCATGGGGAGACGCTCTCATCCACAAGGGGATTCCCTCCCCTCCCCTCTGAGCATCTCCCACAGCTGGGTCCCCACAGAAGAGAGCCCTCACTCCCCAGGGAGCTGTCAGCATTTTCACTGGTCCAGCTCCTCTCCCAGTGGCATGCAGGGGTGCAGGAGTCTGCACTCACTGCCCCCCATCCTGGCTCCTCAGGCCCCAGGATCCTTATCCTGTAGTGCTGGTCGGGGTGCTGACGTTCCTGCCATTGCCCGTGATGCTGATCGTGGTCTATGGGTTCTGGAAGAAGAGACACATGGGAAGTGAGTAGAACCCACCCTCCCTGCCTCCTGAGGGTGGAGCATGGGGGAGGGGTAGACGCACTGTCCAAAGGGCCTGACAGTATGTGGTCCCCAGGCACGGAGTCCTCACCTGCGTCCAGTTGGGTGGATCGAGATACACCCAGATGAGGGATGCAGGTGGGCAGGCAGGGACAGCGCAGCTGGACACTTGGGGGATGATCTGGTTCAAGTGGGGTGAGAGGTGGAAGAGGGGCTGGGGCTGGCCAGGAGCTCAGGAGCAGTGCCCAGAGACCGGCACATCCTCATCTCTGCCCTGGTTCTCACAGGCTACAGCATATGCAGCGACCCGGCAAGACCCTGGAAGGACCTACCCAGAAGACCAGAGCCTCTGTGGAAGCTCACTTGGTCCAAGGCCACTTAGCTATGGAGTGGGGCTCTTCTCCCAGAGGGGCCCAGGATGCTGGAGGAAGAGTGAAGATGGGCCTGTCTGGACCGGGGCCAGGCTAGGGGTGAGGACTTGTGCAATGTTGGACTCGGCCTTCCCAGAACCAGGGCTGCTCTTCACTTGCTCAGTTCCCCCAGGCTGCCAGGAACTTGGGGAGGGATGCAGGGCAAGGGGCACCCAGCAGGAAGTCTCAGGGGAAGAGACTAAAGAAGGGGTTCCACTCAGAGCCACAGACCCTGGGGCCCTTGGATGGCAGAGAACCCCGATGATGCTGTTTACAGAGACCCTCCACTCTGGGGAGCCTGTGGCAGTGACTGTGGCCCTGTCACTACTGAGCTGGGGGAAGGGGAAGGTGGACAGCTAGGGCTGCCCTCTCTCCACCCAGGACCCCGCATCCTCAGCCTCCTGCTGCTCCACTCAAGTTTCCCATGTGCTTGGGGAAGGAGTTCCTGGGTCCCAAGGCCTCCTGGAAGAGAGAAACAGTGACTAAGAGCTTGGGGTCTGAGAAGGCTTGGCAGCAGAGGACCCTAGAAATGTCCAATTCCCCCTTCCAAGTCATATGTCCTCGCTGGGTCTCTGGGTGTGCTCTGCCCTGATCGCAGCTGCTTGTCCTTCAGTCCTGGGAGCCAGCACAGCCCACACTCCCACCAGGACACCTGTGGTCGGACCATCTAGGAAAAGCCGTGACCTAGTGCTGAGAGCCCCTCAGCTGCAGGACCAGCCTGTGCCCAGACTGGGGAGCAGAGGCTGACATCAGGGATATCTCCCCCAGTTCCCATACTTAGGTCCCAGGTCTGAGCTCACACAGGTGACTGCGGCCTCTAGAGTCCCCTGGAGGGGAGGCTGTAGCTCAGAGAAAGGGTGGCTCTCTCCATCCCCCACTGCAGGGGGCTCATTTTCTCCTGGGGGAAAAGACCCACTTGTGACACAGCAAACAGCCTGGAGGAGTGCTGGGTGGGGGAGGGGAGGGTGCTGCCAGGAAGCCTGAGCAGGTGCCTCTCCCACATCCGCCTGCCTCACCAGCTGGTGGCTCAGATTTGGCCTCTCTGCAGTGAGGGCTGGAGAATAGGGACAGGATTCCTCCTCTGGAGAGGGGCACCCCCAGCCTGGAGGGGTTGGACCAAGCATCTGGGGATAGATGTGGAGATGCCACTCTCTGCCTGGGTCCGAGACCTCTCAGGTAGGAGAGCAAATGCCATAGCAGGAGAGTGACATGACCCTGTGGGCAGCGGTGGGCACCACTCCAGGATGGGCAGGGAGAGAGGAAGGGGCAGGGGCTAATCCTGGAGGACAGCAGAGAGGAGACTGCTCTTCCCTATGTCTGGGGAAGATTCTCACTGAGGAACGGACAGGGACAGGCCTGATGCCTGTCTTTCTTCCTCTTCCTCCCCCTCTCTGCCCTCCCTCTCTGTCTCTCTCTCTCGCACACACACACACAGTGACATCTGCCCTCCCCATCTGGAGGGTGTCACCACCACTTTCATGTCTAACTAGAGGGCCTCTAAACCTTCCTGGGTAGCAAGAGCTCCCAAGAGCTCCCCGCCATTTGTGATCCCACAATAGTCTGCCGGTCAGAGACCCGGGGATGTCCCCTGTCACCGAGTGACCCTCTGCAAGTCACTAACCTTGCCGGGCCTCCTTTCCCTCTCCCGTGAAGGAGAACACTAATTCCTACCTCTTAAGACTTTTCAGGATAAAATGAAGTAACGTGAATCTCACGCAACACAGTAAGTGCTAGTGACGGGCAGTCCCCGATGTGTTGTCTGGCTCTCATGGTGGTGGTGGCGTTCTACAGTTAAGGACTTCACACCCGATTTCCCTGCCTTTTCCCTCAAATGGAAGGGTGGAGGCCCCAGGTGACGGGTTCTGGACCCTGCAGAGGCCTTCGCCATGTCTGGTGTCAGGCAGGACAGCTGTTACAGTGGCCAGTGGGCCCTGTTTGCCCAGGATCCACGGAGCCTGCTTCCTCGTGAGCTCCATGGTGCTGGCATAGGAGGTACAGTCCCCGGGCCAGCTCCTGGGACCTGGGTGGCCTCTTTGGATATCCAGGTCCGTGGGGTCTTTCCCTCTCAAGCCCCTGGCCTTGTCCTCCCTGTTCTTTCTTCTCAAAGCTCTAGCAGGGGCAGGGCAAGCAGGAGCATCAGGCAGGCCAGGGCTGCTGTAGCTGGCACTGGTGAACCATTAGAGCTTCCCGAGTGACAGAGGATGATAGTGAGCACACGTGCGAAGGGCTTCCTGTCATGACCCTGGGACAGCTCAAATAAAGATAACCTGAAACCCATGACCTGCTCAGTTGTGCTGTGGAGGATGACACCGTGGGACACACTCTCCCGCCACGAGGCCCACATATGAGCCAGAGGCGCCCAGAGCTCCCGAATGACTGCAGAGGATTACACCCGGGTGGTGGCCACCATGTCCTGCTACCTGGCCCCTTCAGGGCTCCCGGGCCTGTGCCCGGTGCTGGGAGCAGTGAGGTGGCCCAGGGCAGACCTTCTCTTGGGGTAGCCCTTGGCCAATTCACCTGGGTTCTGAAGCCCTGGTGTCCCCTGGTCCCCCAAGCAAGTCCTGAAGGTCACCAGGTGCCCTGAGCTTCCTGTGGCCACGGGCAGCCGGGCCTCTCCTACAGTGTTGGGGTCCTCAGCATTTGAAACCTCCTGTGCTAATCACACCAGAGTCTGAATCCCACACACCCCACCTGCCACATGGATGTTTACAGGTTTGCCCTTTCCTTGTTTGACTATTAACTAGAAGCAGCCATGCCAATAATTGTTTTTCTCTAGCTCATGTAATGACAATTATTTTTTTAAATGCGCTCAGTTAGGGTGGTCATTCAAGAAGTGCTCATGGCAGGCAGGGATCTGGGAATGCAGGGGTGACAGGGGATGGAGACACCCCTTTTTATTTCCCCACTTCTGCCCCTGTCTGATCCTCCACCCCTCTGATGACACACTCCCTCTCTCCCTCTCCAAGGGCCTTTCCTCTGCCACCATTTCTAGAAGTGGCTCTTCATCTTCATCTCCTCTTCCCCCAGGCCTCTTGGGATGGCCATGTTCCTCGGCAGGCCTGGGCAGGATGTCTCTGACCACTGAGGACCCTCCAAAAGGTCTCCTAACTCTCCCTCACCTTCAGCCCGTGCTTTAGTTGGGTGGGGAGGAGAAGTTGAGGCCTGAGAGGAAGTGGTAGAATAGAAGGGAGAAAGAGGAAGGAAAAATAGGTCCTAATTTCACCAGAGTTTCTTCCTGGGCTGTCATAGTTTCCCCATCACAGTGAGGGGGACACGGCCTGGCAGGGGAAGGCAGCTGGGCACAAGAGAGCCAGGAGTAGCTACAGGATTCCCCTGGACTTGGTGCAGTCCCAGCACTAAGGCTGTTCCAGGTCCAGATGTAACATCTGCATCTGGAGGGTCCCTGGTATAGCCCATGGCCTCCCCCTCCTTCCAAAGGTCCCCACATCTCCAGCAGAAGCTTTTGCCTTCCTCAGCTTCTTTCCAGGCAGTGTGGAATTGGAGGGGTCTGCACTGAATCTCTCCTTTGGCTTCCTCTCCTTGGGGGGCTTCTCTGTCTCTCACTTCCCTCCCCTGCCTCAACTCAAGAAGAGGGCCCAAGAAGAGGGCCCTGGGAGACCACATACCTGCTGCCACCTGCCCTGCTAGTGATACTGGCCTCAGGTGGGGGGCAGAGGAGGAGGGCAGAGGGAAGGGAATAGGGTGAGGGGAGAAGGAGGTGGCAGGAGAGGGGACAGGAGGGGGCTTTGTGCAGCAGAGGGCAGGGGCAAGGTGGTGCTATGGCCAGAGGCTGGCCCTGGGGCACATTCTAGATGTAGATACAAAGAGTGGATACCCAAGAAGGAAGCCTTATCTCACAGCTCTACAGAGACAGTTGGGGGACTCCCTGGCCTGAGGGTTTATTCTCAGGCTCCTGGGAGCAGAGGCCAGTGTTTCTGCAGGCCCTGAGTGTGAGACAGTCTCTGTGAGATGCCTATACTACTGACTCCTCCGCTTCGCCCCCTCCAAGGTTTAAACAAGGTGAAAATTTGGTGTAGGGAAGGAACACACCATTCTGCCTTGTTAGTCACCAGTGTCAGGTTCTGGCCAGATTCCTGATTCTCTACCTAGGATGACCTCCACGCTGGCTACTTCACTGTCACCATGACTGAGCTCAGGGTAGAGGACTCAGAATTCTGTGGGTGTGGAATTGAAGACAAATAGCTATTGCAAAAGTTCACCAAAGTGCAGCCCGGGGAGCTGGCACTTATGACAAGGCTTGGCTGCCACTGCCCAGCTTGAGAGACTGAAGTCATGGGGGCAAGAGAAGAGTGAGGAGGAGCGCTGTTCCTTGTCCTTGGTGGCAAGGGGAGGAAGAGGGAGGAAACAGAACTCATGGAGGTGGGAGGCCAATCTGATTAGAAGCCTGGCGGTCAGTGAGAGGGACAGTGAATGCTAAGTTAGAAGAGAGCCTGTTTGGGAATGCAGATAACCATTTGTGTTAGAAGAGTTTACATTTGCAGGCAGCTGTAAGAGAGGGAGTTAGGGCCACCTGCTGACCACCTGCTGACCCAGAGGACAATGGCCACAAGCGCTCTGACTCTTGGGAGGCACGTTTGCTTAGGAGATGAGAGCATGCAGAGGATTCAGAAAGAAGACAGAGAAGAAGCTGCCAGCAAGGCAGGAGAAAGAGCATTATGCCACAGCGCGTGGTCAGGGTAAGCTAACTGCTGCGAGAAAATCTCCGTAAAAGTTTTTCCCTCCCTCCCATCATGGCATAATGCAGGTGGCTGAGGAAGCTCTGCTCCACACAGTCACTCCGGACTCGGATTCCTTCACCTACTGGCTCTGTTCTCTAGATCCTCGGAGCCTTCTGCTGGATCCCTTACATCTGGGCAACAAATAAGAGAGGTGAAGGAGAAGACTGAAGGCTGCGCAGGAGGTTTTGTGGGCCAGGCCTGGAAGCAGCAAACTTCATTTCTTCCAGAACCCAGACAACTACTTCTAACTGCAAGTGAGGACGATGATACAGTCTAGCTGTGTTCTCGAGAAGAAATTATTTGGAAAAAAACTACTTAATTTCTTTCAAGGTGAAGACATGGCAAAATAAAAGTTCTTAAAGTAAATTCTGAATCCTAAGGCAGCTTTCCTAGGATTCAGAAATTTAGCCTTTGTTCTTTTTACTGCTATTTCCTCTTCGGAGCAAGCTGCTTTCTCTTCAGAATTTTTACTGACTTTCTTTAAACAACCCCCTTCTACTCTGTACTGTGGCTGTCACATGTGTGACCTATAAATAGTGGGTCTCGTGATGACCCTGTTTTTCAAGAAGTTTTGGGAAAACCCGGCCTGAAACCAAAAAAAAATAATAATCTGAGGCTTTACTCTGTCACTCAAGGAAACACACACGAACACATTTTCAGAATCCACATCAGTCTTGCTGTCAGTGGGCAGCCCCCTTCTCACACAAATCCCCAGTCAAATCTCTCCTGGAGCCAGGGTTCCTGGCTCTTCACCCCTTGGTCCATCCCCAGGGGTCCTCAGTGTCTGCACTGAAGCAGCCAGGTCTCCTCTGCCAAAACCTCAGAGGTCAACACTTGGGCATGTGGCAGCTGACAGTTTGGATTCTCTATATCGACCTGGTCCCTAATATTTTGGGTCTGGTCATTTGAGGAGTTGAGATATTTGAGTTTAAGGGCATGGTTTGGAGGTAAGTGGCAGGAGATTGGTTAAAGGTAGGTTTTGCTACATGACAGTCACCCTGGAACACAAAAGGAGGTGATCACATAGGAAGCTTCCTATAGCTATTGAAATATTAGATTTGCTTCCCAGTGCCCCACAAAACATTACTGCTGGTAGTGATTAGGTATCTCATGAAAAAAAATCCATGTTGTTAATATAATTCACCCAAATATTTTAATGGAAGGAAAAATAAGGCAATTGAGCATCATAGT